ATGAGCAGAAAGGAGCTGCAAAAACCATCAAAATGGGATTTTAGCATGAAAAGGCTAGTGAAAAAAAACAGCTAAACAGTAGCCAAAATTGCAGAAAACAGCTGAAATTAGCAGCAAGAAGCATGAAATTATTAGTAGAGAGAAGTTGAAAGAATCACACAAAAAATTGCCAGAGAATAGCAGAAAGGAGCAGAGTCACAGCTGAAATAGCAGAAAACAAGGCTAAAATTAGCASAAAGGAGATTAAAAGGCTGAACCAGAACAAAACAAATATTTATAAACATTTTGAAGGTTTTAMTGAWGTTGAAAACAGCTCTGTTCATTTCCAACAAGAAAGAAGTGATCAAAACAACCTAAAGAGCTGAAACAATAATAAGTTGCTGAAATWCCAACAGTCAAAGTCAGAATGTCCTGAAGGAGCTGAATGTTTTGATGAATGAATTGTTGAAATAACTCAAACGTTATAGAAGATGTGTGCCAGAAAACGTACGTTACAACGATAGTAACAATGAAGAGAAACAGTATCACTAAACTTTGACTCTGACAGRTCACGTGTTGTTCAGGGTTTATTTTAGCCCAGTTCTGTTCTGATCCAGAACAAAATAAAAGAGTTTGATGATGAAGTGATGTTAACGTGCAGCTCAGCAGCTGCACACATGSTCTTCAGATGCTAACGCTAACAATGCTAACAATGTTACTTTGAAAAGAGATGAATGTAGTTTATCTGGTAAACAAGCCATGACTGAAACATTTGACCTTTAAAGACTGTGGCATGCCTTCAAGCCCAGCCCTGAGGCAAATAATTAGCTTTTATGTGGCACATATTTGTGAGGCATTTTACAATGTAAATAAAACTTCGACTGCTAAACMCAAACATTTCAGTCACTTCATTTTAATGTCCCCTTTTATGAAAGCAAAGGAAGACAAAAGTAGGAATTGGTTTAAATCTTGTGCACTGCACTTCATCTAAAAAGCTGCTGTAGCCTCAGAACACCTGCTGAAGAGCAGGACGTCTGAAGGACAAAGCTTTAGAAAGGGACCGCTCCTTCTGCTTAATCACCTGAACAAACTTGTTGCTCTGCAGGATCARGGCAGTCTGAAGGACCAGCTGACTGAACTCCAGGTCGTGTTTGAAAGCCGTCGTGTAGATCTCACGGAACGGCATGAACTCCTTGAACGAGACGGAGAAAATCGGCTCGTTAAGTTTCAGGGAACAAAACAAGAAGAAGAGTGAAAATGAACACCTGCTCACCTGCTGGCTCGCCAGCGCCTTGGCAGTTTCGGCCATCTTGGCATAGCTCTTTGCGCTCTCGATATCTGCGGACGAGGAACATAAAAATACAGTCTGTTCAGTTTGTTCAGGTGAGAGATCTGTGTTAAACTGAAACCATTCATTAACTAATAAAACAAACTGGACCTTCAGCTCAGATAAACCTTTTTGTTTCAGCTCAAACAAACCTGCAGTTAATCCAACATTCAGAGAGAGTTTCAGCATTTTAAGGCTCTTGTCTGCAGATTTATGTCAGTTTTTAACAAATATTTTCCTGTAACTGTGTCACACAGACTGTGCACAAACATAATAGGGAAATGACCTTTCAGGGACAAAAATGATCCTGTTTTCCTCCTCAAAGCATGCTGGGATTGAGGGAGACTCACCCACACTCAGCCTCTTCTCCACCCACGCCAGCAGCTCCTTGGTGTACTTGGACCACGACTTGGCGTAGAGCAGCACCGACTCCACGCCGCTGTCCTGCCGCTGCAGCGTCCGGTCCACGTCTTCGGCCCGGACTGGAGAAGAAGGCCCTGCGGTAACCACGAAAGCGACGTAAGACACCACCGTCCATTGAATCGATTAAATCATGATTATTCATGATTTTCACTTAAATGTTTTACAAATTTTCATGAATGTCTAAAAACCCAAATAATCACAGGCTGCTGTACAATTAGCATAGACGCTAACTTAGCTGGGAAAATACCACAGAAAATCTAACACGATTAGCATCCTGTTTATTTATACACAAATCTAACGTCAACCATTATTTACACTCTTCAGGGTTTAATGTTGATAACAATATGTCTGCTAAGTCGTGCTTTGAAAATATATATACTGTATATTTTTCCCCWCTCTAACTCTTAAAATAGTCAGAGTATTTGCTGGCGTGTATCAGAGAACGTGTCAAACTCAAATCTTGCTCTCGTTAACATTTTATCTGGCCCCAAAGGTCAAACTTTAACTATTAAATAGTTTCATGGTTTCTATTTTTGTCACTTATTGCGTTGTTCTCAAGCTGGGAAAATTAAGTAATCTTTGATTTTGGTGGATAGGTTAACAGAAAATCAACTTTAATTATTTTTTTCTGTATAATATTTCTAWTTTAAAGTCAAATAATTGTATTTTTTAGTGAGGGCTTTATTTTTTACGTGGTTTTCTGGATTGTGATCAAACCTCTAAGATATAATAAATGAAAAGTTGTTGATAGAGTAAAACATAAATGCTATTTTTTCATCTTTTTCTGTTAGGTTATGTTTGTTCTAAAT